GGGTGGTAAAAACTTAATTATTGAGCATGACATTGGGATCTAGTGTTTCTGTTGTATTGAGATGGGTGGATAAAATTATAGCTTGACTGAAAAAGATAATGGTGAAAGCGACGCAATCACGATTTTCTCAGGCTTCTAACCGTCTCTATTTCACACCGTTACAAACTACCGGTTACGGTAGTTAAGTTCTAGAAATTCAGATTTACGGTTTACGCGATTTTTAGCAACTTTTAATTTAGTTATATGGGTCAAGGCAAATACGGCCATAAACTGCAAGTATAAAACAGTATGGTCGTAAATCTCGTAAGCCGTGGCACGATCGCGCTAGAACATCGCGCTGTCCCTATTTTTCCCAAACGGTTACCCTGTTACTGACTGGAATTAGGAATTAATAGGACAAGTTTACGCCACAGGAATATATACTTGTGTTGTACGCTTAATTCAGATTTATACATCTATATATAGATATTTGTATATCTTATTCCTTACATTTTTGTGTATCCTGCATCAGAATATCTGCAAGTCCGCCTTTCGAAAAAGTGGAATACATACTTTCCTTATATTACTATATGTAACTAGCTTACCTTGAAAAGTAGTCGAGACTCTGTTGAAACTTCGGTAATTTTTATGCCGAAATTTACACCGCATACCCACTTCGTAAAACAAAAACATAAGCACCGTATATTTGGGCTGTCGTATAGAAGTTAGTGTGATTTCCTTGCTTTAATTTGGAAACTGCAAATGAAGAATATCGATTAAGCATAAGTTTTTTTTGCATTTTGCATAGTTAATTTTTTTAGACGGATCACAAGTATTACAGTGTCAACATGTATAAACCAGATATGCAGCAATTCAGTAAACATTGGATCGATATCCCGCATCTTCTCGAAAATAAAAACACAACTCGTGGCGAACTGAGGCACAAACAGCTGTCCAACTCCTACCGCCGTGCTGTGGTAAGTACTGGATTTTTCCTAGTTTTTTTGTTATTTTAGGCGTATTTATTATTTGATGCAGTTAAGTACTGTATGAACATTTATTTATCATTGTACTGTACTGCCTATTTTTTATTGATATTTTTTTTGTTCTTTAGAAATGCGCTTGTAACTCTGATATAAATATGTTGATAAAAAATAGCCGTTACGATCACACTTTTCTACGTAATTCCTTCCATCCAAGTTACGATCTTTACTTCTCATCGCGACATAAACGAACTACTTTATCCCTGCCTTTTAACAAGCATAAATTTCTTTCCCTCCGTCGTTAAATAATAAAGGTCAGATTCAATATCATCTGTAAAAAAGTCATCACCCTATGCTATATCTTGTTCAGAAAAACAGTTTACGACAGACGGCCTGCTGTCCAAATAGGTTGTAAACGTTATCGTTAGACTGACAACTGTATGAAATGAAAACGGGCAATGAAACGGAAGGAAACGATTTTAAACCCATCTAAAGGATAATGTGGTAGCTTTCTAGCATAGCCGCATGAAGAACATGCATCTGATGTGAAGCGTACTACTTTGTAGCTAGGACGGGTAGATCATAGACCGTGATAACAGTAATATTGGTCTTTTGATACGCGAATCCTCTCTGACTAAAACATTTGGTGCAGCCTGAGTAAACAAAGAAGTAAATCAACAGTCTTTCTTATAACTGGAATCTCTCCTCAGTAATTTTGTTTCTATTGCCTAATCTCCTCTTCTTTACCTTCCGTTTCTTCTATTTTCTCATTTTAGTTTCCTTTCTTCTTTCATCTGTCATGCCTTAAACTTTCTTTCACTTATTCTTTTTGCCAATGTGGTATGTTTTCGTTGCAATTGCTTAATTGCCTACCTGCTGATTTTTATTATCACTTAAGATATCTTCTCTGTACATTATTAATTTGTGCCGAAGAAGGAACCCGGTTGTGGGTTCCAAGCGTTTCATTTACTAAGCATGTTTGCTATTCTTCTAACCGTCAATCTTGACCTATTTTAATATGAACTTATTTTGAGTAATAAGGCTTGCTTTGAGCAAAGATATGAAATCTCGATGTTACAAGTAGAATGCTGAATGGATTTTTATGACAATCTGTTATGATATATATTTAATCTGATTTTGCTGTCTGAATGCAGCAACATAATAAAATTTGGATGTGTCCAGGAGATCAGCATGCAACATTAATGAAAAAGATAGAGGCATATTAGCATTCAGAGAGGAATGTCTACTTGTCTACGAAGCAGTAGCCGGTGTTCTGTACTTTGTTGCATGGTGGCCTCTTGGCCTACGTATGCAAAAAGATTGTAAAATTGCCGGCACAGTGGACAACACAAACAAGGACATTCTGAGTATGGGAACGACACACATGCACACACGCACATCCATGCGCACGCACACGCTATATTTCTTAGATACCTTGGATTTGCGGTCAGTGTTCGTTGCATCCTGAGTATCTTGAAACTTAGCAATTGTAACAGGTCGTAAAATTTTGTTTCAAAGTTTTACAGGCCAAGGTGTCAGTTTATTTTCCTTCAACTTGAACTGATGCATTAGCTCACTTTCAGCGTTTATGCGTGTAAGTTTTGAAGAAATATGACCAGCCAGAATCTGTGCAAAAGTGGTTGCTTCTGCTGACAGGTACGTAATGCTTAAAAAATATTTAAATTTTAATAAATTTGAAAATATTAGGAACATTTAAATAAATACGCTTAATTTGGAAAAAAATTTGATCAAGGAGCAAAAGTTTGCTTCATAAATCAAGGACTATGTATGATCGAGTCATTGAGTTGATACTGAAAGTATCATAAACCAAAGATAATACCAGTTAACAGTATTAATTCGTAGAAATTGGTACGTTTTTAGCGTAATTAAGCAAATGTTCAAACTAAGTAG